ATTTAAATAGATTTCAAATATATTTTTCTTCCATATGGGTATCTTTGTATAAAAAGGCAATGCGTTTGTTAGCTCTCATGTGGATGCACTGATCAACAGGCTAGTTACTTAGCCATGGGGAGCAGAAAAGAACTGTCAAAAGACCTGCTTAACAAGGCAGTGGAACTTTATAAAGATGGAAAAGGATATAAAAAGATATCCAAAGCCTTTAATATGCTAGTCAATATTGTATTAAGAAGTAGAAGATTTGGAGATGTCTTAAAACCAAGCCATGGTCAGGTAGACCAAAAAAGATTGCTGCCACATCTGTCAAAAGGGATGCAAAGAAATTTACAATATGCCGACAATACCTTGACACATCTCATAGCTTCTGGTACTCTGTAATCTGGAATGACAAGACCAAAATGGGGCTTTATGGTGACAACCATAATTACTATATTTGGAGAGGGGTCCACAAGCTTTGAAATAAAATATGCATTCATGGGGAAATGTTTGTATTTTCATATGAAAATAACAATTTTAGGTTTTTCTGAGAACAGTATAGGCAGCACTCCTGGGTATTTCAGTAGGTTTGTGTCATGTAATCTGACAAGTGCCCCTTAGCTGAGCTCCATGAGTTAAGTGTAGAAAAAGACCTTTGTGGAGAATGCAGCGAAAATTGCAGAGAATTCCAACAAGCTTCCAAACTTTCTATATAACACACAGCAATTTTGTCAGTCTTGGGGACATGTACTGGGAAGATGTACTTAAAGTGGTTGTAAAGCTCTACAGCTACCCACTGAAGTGACTATCCTCTGGTAATACACAGAATCCTCCTACATTAGTTGTACCTGTTTATCTGCAGCCCTTTCTCCTCGACACCCATTCACAGAACAGAGATCAGAGGCTCAGCTCCAGAAAGTAGGGGATTGATGTCACACACTGCACAACATAGAACAGGGAGCTGAATGTAATCTGAAACCTGAGTAAAGGGAATAGACATACCCCTCTTTAGACAGTCTCATAGGGAAACATGCACAGCTGAAACTGTCATACACTATTTGGGGGAGAGGTAGAGCTGTTTGCCGGGATTTTGTAGTGTTGGCAAAACCTGTCAGAAGTGATATAGCAGAGGAAGGAGAGAGGAGGCAGAAATCACATTAGGTGCTTCGGATTGAGACAAGTACACCTTATAGAAGAATATACTTTGTTCATTTTTTTTTTTCAAAGGTTTACAACCACTTTGTTTTTTAAAGTTGTTTTTCACAGACATTCAGTTTAATTTTTCCTGTATCCATCCTGAAAGAGATACTTGGTGTTATTGGGGCATAACTGTCTCATTCTTCGACTATGACAATAATAGCTTGCAAATGGATAATCTGCGTTGTGAAAATGTTTTCAGTGCACGATACGGTTCACTATGCAGCATCAGGCTGGTGCTCTGTAAGAAAAATACCTGTATTCACTTTTTACAAAAATGACTATGCTTTCCTTTTACAAAAGTGGATACGCAAACAAATGAAAACTACAAGTCCTAGTATGGTGCTTATCACTAATTTATAATTTGGAAAACTTTTAGAGCCAAGAAGGAGTAGGTAGAGCTGAAACCAGTCTGTTAGATTTAAATTGTGTCCTTTGTTTGCCTGATTGTAGTGATTTGTGTTCCTAAACTACACTTAAATCTTTTTTTTTTTTTTTTAATTTGTCTGTGGCATTTTCTACTGTGCTGTGACTGGCGAGAAATCCTTGCTTTGGCCTTGACCAGGACTGGACAGGCTTTTAAAGTGGACCTGTCACTTTTTTTTTTACATTGCATTCACTAGTTTCATGCATGTTACAGTCTGCTGATAAACATTTTGGTAAAAAAGAAAAAATGTGTTCAAAAAATGTAATTTATTTTATCTGAAATGTTCATTGAATTCCTCCTTCCTCTAGGATTTGACTAATGGTTTTTAGGTCTCTCCCCTACATGACTTGGCTGCACCCTGTAGACCAGGGGTGTCAAACTCCATTTCATTGCGGGCCGTATCAGCATTATGGTTTCCCTCAAAGGCCTGGTTGCATATGTAAGACTAGATATCCAGAGCACCCACCCCCCCTTACATCAGATGTCGAGAATCCCGCACCCTCCCTGACATCACCGTGCACCCCCTCGGGGGGCAGAGCTGGAAAGCACAAAGTGCAGGGTCTGCAGGAGGACCAGAGGAGGAGTGGAGTCAGTTACCAGAGTCTACTGAATGCTGAGACCAGGGGAGGCAGAGATGAGGGGGTGCTGCAGCTGCACTGAGAAGTGCAGGATTTGACAGAGGAGTTCTCTGCTGCCGACTACTGAGACAAGGTGGGGGCAGAGACAAGGGGGTACCTGCAGGAGAGGTGCAAGGGCCACATGAAATGGCCTGGAGGGCCAGATTTGGCCTGCGGGCCTTGTGTTTGACATCTGTGCTTTAGACAGTGCAGTGAGGTCAATCATGTCAGCCAGGAGAGGTATGGAGATGTCAGGCAGTAATTGAGAACAAGCACATGCAGGGCAAAGTTACTGGTTTGCTCTAAACAAAAGATATAGAAGAGCATGTGGCTCATTTAGTTGAACAGTGCTGTCACACAAAGAGAGCCCATTTCCCTGTGTAAGCTGCATCTTAGATCTCTTTGAAACAGGTGACCGGTCCTACTGCCCCTGTGAAAAATGATCCACAGTGGATCACTCTTTTAGGAACAGTTTAAAGGTGGTTTACCATTCAGCATGTGATATTGCCACATCCTGAATGATTTTTTTTTTTTATCCTTTCTATCCCAGGGGGGGTTTTAAATTGAGGCAACACACCATAACTGTGTACCAAGTGTTTGGCATGCAGTTGCGGTAGCGCTTGCCAAAATCAGTAGGCCAAATTAGAATTGAAGCATCGCAACCACAGCAATAGGGACAGACCTGGGTGGCCTCAATGTCACATTGTAGGTGGGTGGTTGGGGGTTAGTAAAAATGTTGATCAGCTGTTTGGATTTTACTGATCTTTCGAGCTACCCATGTGAACTTAAACTTAGTGACGATTAGCTTACACATGACCGGTTCTCCTGCTTCTGGCAGGGGTCAGGGGAGCAGAGAAAAAATGAATATGTGCTTTAAGCCTGTCGATGGATGTGTTTGGTAGGAGGTATAAAGTAGGTGAACCTGCACAAAAAATATGACTAGTTATGGACTCAACCAGGATGTGGGGTTTGTTTATATGTATTGGTAATGCAAAAGCAATAATTCAAAAGGGGCTGGTGGTCCATGGCGCACAATCATTTCTTTATTTGACATAGACAATTCTAAAATAAAAACACAAAGAATCATACCACACTCCACAGGTCCCGAATAATAGTCCCCAAAGGGGATTATCCGCTTGTATAGATCAATTGTTGGTAATGGTTATCATTATCAACAATTGATCTATACAAATGGGTAATCCCCTTCGGGGACCATTATTCGGGACCTGTGGAGTGTGGTATGATTCTTTGTGTTTTTATTTTAGAATTGTCTATGTCAAATAAAGAAATGATTGTGCGCCATGGACCACCAGCCCCTTTTGAATTATTGCTTTTGCATTACCAATACATATAAACAAACCCCACATTCTGGTTGAGTCCATACCTAGTCATATTTTTTGTGCAGTTTCTCCATATTTTGGTGTCTAGGGACTCCTGGTTTACTTAATAATAGTTACACATTTAGGTACCTTGAGGCTTTTTCTTGGAGGTTTTGCAATAAAGTAGGTGAACCTGTACGTAAAGAAAGCCTGAAGGTAGATACTGTAGGTCTTGCTCGCTTTTCTTTTAATATCCTTTCAAATTCTACTAGAAAAAAAAATGTACAGCTTGCATCAAACCAGATAAAGAGAGAGGTCATTTGAAAGTGACTGATCTCTTTATCCCGACATCATCAAGCTACATAGCCCACTGCTTGGTCATGTAGAAGCTTGTAGTTCCTGAAGAAGCAAGTGGTGATATGTAAAGCTTAAAGTAAGCATAATCCATGGCTTGCCTTAGGTTTTAAGTGCCAGCATGGTCCACTTGAAAATTGCTTGATTCCCCTAACAACACAGTCAGTGTTGATGGGGGAATCCCTCCCCTGTAGCTATTGTGTTCTCCCAGCAGGGAGCCATCTATGCTGGGAGAACATGATTACTGCTAGTGGCTATAGCTGCAGGCAGTAATCGCATGCTAAAAATCCGACAGGCAGGTTGTACCCAAGGTGATCGATGAATCGACTTGGGTACAGTCAGCCTGCCCATAGATGGATCAAATCTTCCTGCTGAACCTGCTGAGACTTGGTCCATCTATGGCCAGCCTCACTGAAGTCAAAGAAATAAATATGCAGGCAGGTAGTAGACAATTTACCAACCTTGAATTTCCTAGTCTTCCCTTTACTTTCCTATCAGAGTAGTTGTGCATCATGTCTCAAATTGACTGTACAGTCTAATAGATCTCAGAGTTGGTCCCAGTGCAGTCACCAGTCAGCACTGAGTAATAGACCTGGTCTGGCACACCTTCTCTACAGTACAAGCCTTGTGATGAGAGGTGTGGCTGTTACTCAGCTCTTCGAGCACAGAGCTCTTGAGGGAAGAGAGCCGCAAGTCGCATTTTGATGAGAGAAATTTATATTTCAGAACATTTCCAAGCAAAAAAAAAGGGCTTTAAATGAAGAACATTTTGTGATACTTCAACTGGGCTTTGAAAGACCTCTTAGTCTTAGTTATGGGTGACTTTTATTCAGCAAAGCACTACAAGAAGCAAAATGAAGATCACTTTGGTTGTAGCAGCCCGGGCAGAGGTCATCTGGTGTAGCTTCAGTAATGTGAATTCTGATTGTCATGGATTGCTGCAATTTGCTCTCAGCGCTTTGCTTCTTGTACAGTTTATTGACTAAGCCCAGTATTGTGCTCTGTTACGACATACAGTAGGTTTCTGTTGATATGTCCTGTTGACTTTTTGAAGAACGAAATACATTTTTATATGTACTGCCTGTGCCACCTTGGAATTAGCGGCATGTCTTGGAACAAAAGGAGTTTCTAAAATGATTTTGTTTTTCTTTGCTTCCATAGAAACCGGTAATTATATGTGTGAATTCTGCGGCAAGCAGTACAAATATTACACTCCGTACCAAGAACACGTAGCACTGCACACTCCTCTCAGTGAGTATCATCATTAAACCCTATTCCCCAAGGCTGCTGCCGGCCTTCCACCCAACAAGGCAGAAATCTGTATTGCTGAACATTGATGCTTGATGTTTACGTTGCCTCATCACACACCAGACAACGCTTTGTGATCATTTCTTGGGTGACTTGACCTCTTGGCAAGGGCTGAACGCAAATGTGCTGCCTCCTCCTGGCGTCTGGGCCGAGCCGCCGAGCGGCCACACATTTGCGTTCTATTACAAAAACTGTGTGCTGAGAGCACACGCCCCGCGCGCTCCCAGCACACGTCTGGTACTCATGGACAGGTCCCGATCTCCTCTTTCGATCAGGACCTTTCCCGATCATGTGACCGTCACGGCGGTCACATGACCCTAAACCCCGCCCCGCCTCTCGGCTTCTGAAACCCTTAAAGGGCTGGGAGGCGCCGGCGCCAAGGGGTTAAAGCAGAACTCCTGGCAGATATTAAAAAAAATTGCAGTTATGCATGTGTTAAAAACAAAATTAAATACCTGAATTTAACTTGGTTTAGCATCCCCTGTAATTGCCTGTACAAACTGGGAGAAGGAGAGGCCAATCAGGTGTTCTGAATGCACATGTGCTGACAAGGATCATGCTCACTGGATGAGCAGAGAGATTCTCATCAGCCTGCTTTTGCTCCTTCATTGTCCAATCACAGGCTGGGGGCAGGGAGGTGAACAGGCTGTATTTTTCTTAACAGCAGCAGAGCAAAGTCAGGTCACCAGTCGGTTTTGAGGACAGAACTACAAATCCTTTGATGTGTAAAATCGCTCCAATGGTGTATTTAGTTGGTTGCTTGAGTTCAGATGTAAACCAATTGAACATTTTAGTCAAAGGCTCCCAAGTAATTGTCTTATTTATTTATTACAAGTAATTATAGATCACCAACAATTTATGCAGCGCTTTACATATTGTATAGTCACACCAGTCCCGACCCTCAAAGAGATTCCAATCGAAGGTCTACGCACCTATACATGCACTCACAAACCAGGGTCAATTTGGGCAGAAGCCAATTTACCTACCAGCATGTTTATGAAGTGTGGGGAGAAAGTTGGGAGTCAAAAACAACAACAACACCTCCTGCGCTCTACGACCCAGAGCAAGGGTGAATGGATGGAAAAGGAACTTGTAGAAATTCCTCCACCAATGCATAAAAGGTTGTGCGGCTCTAAACAAGGCTGGGGAAGCCCGACCAGTACTGTAAAGTGAAACAAAAAGCGCACCAACCTTGCGCATTACCTCAGTAAACTGAATTTATTGAATTAAGAAATATACTCACAAACAGAAGTATAACAAGCGTATAAAATTGTTAACGGAACTCTAGGAGTGTAAAACCAGTACGAGTCTTATCACGAGGGCAGACTCTCAAGGTAAGGCTGACGCATTTTTAAGGGGGTCTCTTCTTCATCAGAGCTCTTTCAGAGAAAGTTGGAGTACCTGGGGAAAACCCACACAAGCACAGGGAGAACATGCAAACTCCATGCAGATATTGTCCTGACTGGGGTTCGAAGGGGGGGCCCCAGTGCTGCCCCTTGGAAATAATTCCTTTTTTATAGTTGCAGCTGGTTGTTTATTGTCTTTGCAAGAATGTTTACGTATTCATATTTGTCCCTGCCCTAAGGAGCTTGCTATCTAATGTACTTAGCACAGTCACGCACGCTGTAAAGCAAGTCATAGATGATTCAGTTTTCTTTCCTACAATCAGGCGTGGAAGGAATGAAAATTGTTTGATTCCCCCATCAACACAGTCACTGTTGAAGATGAGGGAATCCTTCCCACCGCACTATTGTGTTCTGTCGATGGGGAGCCTTCCCTTCTGGCAGAACACAGTGATTACTGCTAGCAGCTATACTGTAGCTACTGGCAGTAATGACATGCAAAAAATCTGACAGGCTGGTTGTACTGAAGTCGATCGATGGATTGACTTCAGTACAACCAGCTTGCCCATACATGGGTCGAAATCTCGGCTGGTCCTTGCTGGACTGGCCAAGATTTGTTCCGTCTATGGCCAGCTTAAGGCTGGTTTAGAAGCTAAATTCCAAGCAGATATAAGTAGATGCCTTTTAATCCAGTCATGTACCCATTAAAATATTAAATTCAATTTTAAATGCAATCAAAGTAGGTACCCAAAATCTTTATTTACATTAGCTTTTCAGAATTCACACACAGCAGATCTCAGACTGACAGAGGGGTGAGCACAATAACAAATCCGATTTGATTGCATTGCTCAGAGCTATCACTCTAAAGCCTGGTACACGTTGTACGTTTTTGTTTTGTTTGTTCAACCCAAAAAAAAAATCTGACAGATCACTTTTGCGTTTTGACCGCCAGAACACACTAGTCAGCGCTCGGCTGATTTCAGACGATATTCAGTGTACAGAACTTTGGGGTTGATGTTAATGGCTATTCCAGTCAAACGCAGTGTTTTTCACTGGAATGCATGCAGCTGCATGTCAAATGCAGCCATGAACTGTTCAGTTCATATGTGTACTGTTCAATTAGAGTCAATAGGATTTGTGTTTGACGTGTTACAAATGCCTGTCAAACACAACAAACTTAACACCCATCGACATGACCCTAAGATATCAAAATAAATTGAATAACTCAAGCGCTAACTATGGTGAAATGAAAACAAAAAATTACAATTAAATACTCTAGCCGCTAGTGCACACAACCCATGTCTCCGTAGGGCAAATTATACAATCATAATGTGAAGTGAAAAAATGCTGCGCTTCCTGAAACAATGGCACAATCCTTGTATAACCAAAAAACAAAGTGAAAAATAAAATATATATTAGATGAAAAAATAGTAGAAAAAATATTAATATTGAAGTAAAAATATAAATATATATATATATATATATATATATATATATATATAAAACAAAAACCACACAAAAAATAAAGAATATGTATAAGTATGATTCATACAAAAGTCATTCAAAAAATCTAATTCAATCAATAAAGTGTTCATTCAGAGAACCCTCCTTTGGATAACGAAAAATATGTGCATCTGTCATCAATTCCCGTGCAAAGGCATCCTCCACCATATATCTGCTCACCTCATATTATACAATATTACGGTGTAACTGCACCTGCACTTTTGGTCCCATATGAACTCAGAAGATCAGCTTGCTCCCTCCTGATAAGCGTCTTAGTATCAGCCGTATTCCTCATTAAAAAGAACTCAACATAGTGCTTTATCCTTTTAAACTTTTATTCATCAATTAAACATAAGAAATACACTTTCGGAGGTGTATTTTGCACCAGGTATGATGAACATCCAGTGATGTACTGGTTAAACACAAGATGGCAGTATCATCTCAGCAGCAGAATCTTGTACATGCTCAAACCAGACACCATCCATAATGTAATGCAAGGCAAAGCATGGGCCCACTTAATGAATGCTGTTGCCTGCTGTAATGTCGTTCCAAGAGTCGTATCCAAGGTAAAGTCACGTGACTAGTGACGAAACACGTCGGGGAGGAGTGTGCAGATGGCGTCACGACATTGCCATTCATCAGGATGGCGGTTTGTACTACTCTACAAACAGCTCTTGGAACGACATTACAGCAGGCAATAGCATTCATTAAGTTGGCCCATGCTTTGCCTTGCATTACATTATGGATGGTGTCTGGTTTGAGCATGTACAGGACTCTGCTGCTGAGATGATACTGCCATCTTGTGTTTAACCAGTACATCACTGGATCTTCATCATACCTGGTGCAAAATACACCTCCGGAACGGGAGTGTATTTCTTATGTTTAATTGATGAATAAAAGTTTAAAAGGATAAAGCATTCTGTTGAGTTCTTTTTAACGAGGAGTATGGCTGATACTAAGATGCTTATCAGGAGGAAGCTTACTTTGGAGTCTTCATTCAGCAAGCTGATCTTCTGAGTCCATATGAGACCAAAAGTGCAGCTAGACCGTAACATTGTATAATGTGAGGTCACACTGCGTGAGGTGAGCAGATATATGGTGGAGGATGTCTGCAAGGGAATTGATGACAGATGCACATATTTTTCTTTATCCAAAGAAGGGTTCACTGAATGAACACTTTATTGACTGAACTTGATTTTTTGAATCACTTTTGTTTGATTCATACTTATAAATATTCTTTATTTTAAATTTTTTGTGTGGTTTTTGTTTATATATATATATAATATATATATATATTTTTTTATTTCAATATTAATATATTTTTTTCTTAATATATATATATATATATATATATATATATATATATATATATTTTTTTTTTTTTTTTTTTTTTTTTCACTGTTTTTTGGTTATATAATGGATTGTGCCATTGTTTCACGTAGCGCAGCATTTTTTCACTTCACTTTATAACCATAAGAAGTTTTCAGGCTCAGAGCAGTAGAGCAGAGGGATGACTTCTCCAATGTCTCTTCTGCAATAGAGGAAACCTACGTGCCTTCTCACAATCTTCTTTGGAACAACGCAGTGCAGCTCAATTTACATTCCAGCACAACTCCTGTGTGCCAGGATGACTGCACTCCTACACATGTACAAGAGTCGGATCACCCTGGACTGGCCATTGAGAATGGCCGCAGCCTGACACCCAGAAGAAGCTGGGTAGAAGATGCCAGCGAGGGACATTGAACCGTTAAAGGGAGGTAAATATCACAGAGTTTTGTGCCACTTTAGGTGGAATTTCAAGCAAACCTTTAAATACACAAATTAAATATTTACTGCTTTACCTAAGAAATTACTTCTAATTCTCTTCAGCCTATAGACAAAATCGCTGGCACACTGCAAAGCGACCATTTCGAAAGTCTGAATGGAACACATAAATCATACAGCAGAATAAAACAAGGCGAACCACCCTTTATTTTTTTTTCTCCTTTCAGTCATTCTTGTGATCACTCTACCTTTCCTTATACCCAGGTTCAGTTCACTTTGCTGCT